CACTCTCTCTCTCGCACACAGGCACACACACTCTCTCTCTCGCACACCCTCACTCTCTCTCTCTCTCTCGCACACCCTCACTCTCTCTCTCTCTCTCTCTCACACATGCACACACACTCGCTCTCTTGCACACATGCACACACTCGCTCTCTCGCGCACACTCGCTCTCTCGCGCACACTCTCTCTCTCGCTCTCACACTCGCGCACATACCCCTTAAGCCTGCATAACAGGAACAGCAGGAGGCCATGCAACTTCAAGAGTCTGTAACACAGGAACAGCAGGAGGCCATTCGGCCCCTTAAGCCTGCTACATAGGAACAGCAGGTGGTTATTCATCCCCTTTCTCGAGCCTGGTACACAGGAACAGGAGGCCATTTAGCCCCTCAATCCCACTACAGCTGCTGGCACCTACGGATGGGGTTTATTGGGTGGTGACTTACCCGAGGTCAATGAGGGGTAACTTCTCTCGGCCCCGCCTGTAACACAGGAACATGTGTGAGGTGCTGAGGAGGCCACAGTTGAGGTCAGCAGACTGGCCGCTGGGAGTGGTCTCGATGCAGGTAAAGCCCTCAGGTACCTCCTCCCCCTGCGAGCGGATGATGATAGCCACGTCAGCGATGGGTTCAACGGGCCGTGCCAGTTTCGAAGTGCCCTCCTCCAGGGGTTTGGAGGTGTCAGTCAGACCGGCCACTACAAAATAATCCACAAGCTGTGGGGCATTCTCCTCCGCCATGACTACAGCTGAACCATCTGGGGGATAGACAGCGGAATAGAGTGAACATCGGGGTCCGTGAGCTCCCTTTCCCCAGATCCCCAATGTCCTGACCGCCTCCCACCCCACACACACACACACACACACACACACAGCCTACCAACTCCCACGGACAGTGACCAAGGTGAGCTAACTCAACAACACAACCAGCAGAAGCAGGGGCTAACTACAAACCTGCTGAATTTGGGATCACACTGTGCACAAAATGGTTACCACATTCACCAACACAACTCACAACTCACCACCATGCTCAGGCGTATTGTACTCTCATCAAGACAGGGAACAGGACGTGGAATCAGCCAGACTTGCTCCGGAATAACGTCTAGTCCTGTGTTATTCTCACTAGACAAAGGGTCAATCCTAACTCCGGAATAATGTCCAGTCCTGTGTTACTCCCCCAGAGGAACAATCAATCCTAACTCCAGAATAATGTCCAGTCCTGTGTTACTTTCCCAGAGGAACAATCAATCCTAACTCCAGAATAATGTCCAGTCCTG